TATCTGGGCATCATGGGCAGGACAGGTTACAACAGTCACTGTCCTGCCAAGGTGTATCCAGAGAGGATGTATGTGGTGAGTCAGCATGGCCTGAGCTCCATGGTGCCTGTGTCTCCACCTATTTGCCACTACCCAGGTGCTCCCTGGTTGGCAAGGTAGCAAAAATAAATTGCATTTCATCCATGGTTTTGTGGTTGCTCCTGTGTGCAGCCGGTCAAGGTTCAGACAGAGGAGTGAGGAAACTTTAACACTAGACCAAACAATGCTACACAGGTCAAGGCACCTTGAAGAAATATTTTAATGTGGGAATAGCCAGCAACTGCCTCTAGAGCTTCATAAACCTCATGAGACACCCCAGCACATCACAGAGGTTGGTTAGGTCCAGGATGCCAACCACTGCTCCTGTGTGAGTGGACATGCATGTCCAACCAGCATGTGTGTAAGTGAGGAGCAAACCAGCATGCAGACATGGGCTGAAGCTGGCAAGTCACTGGGGCAGGTTTGGCACTGAGCAAACAAACACATCTTAGACACATCTCAGCCCCATCTGCAAAGGAGAAGTTCTGGGAGAGAGGACACTTGGATCTCTAGCCCCTTGAATGTTTTCTGTGTAAGAACATGATACAGTGCCAAGCATTAAACAACTTTTTTCCATTAAGTAGACACATGTTAAGTGGAAATGACAACATTGCCATTTACGTTTGGTATTAAGTGGCTTGCATTTGGGAATTACTATTACAAATTGTCCAGTTATGTTCCTCCCTTTTTATTTCAGCAGAAAGTTGATTTTTTTTCATTAAACATATTTTTAAAATTTCCAGTTGAGGGATGGGGGCTGGTGAGAAGCAGAGACACACATCACTTGAACCCATTTTTCCACCAGCCTCCCAGAAGTGATACCTAAGAGGCTATCACCTATAATTAGACTTAAGAGTTTTCATATACCCACTTAAGACTCCCCCAAGTTTTTTCAGTCACCTCAACTCAACCAGTTTGAGTTCAGAACGACCTGACATTGATTTAGGAGTTGCTTTTCCAAGGTGCTGTACACACCCCATCGATTTCAGCTGAAATTCTGAGTGCTCAGCCTTTCTCCATATCAGCTCCTTCCTGTTTAAAAGAACAAAAAGCAGATTTGAAGTTTATTAAAGCCAGACCCCTATACTCAAAGGAAGGGTTATTAACTCCCTAAGTGAATATGTCTTTATTAGCTGGCTCTTTTCAACCTAGCAAGTGTCATGGAATAGGCCATTATGAATTACACAAGCTTTATTTGAACTGGCTTCTAGTAAAACATAACACACCTACTGGAAGATTGTTATATAAATGTCATCTTCTAGTGAGCAGTCTGAACTAAGCCACAGATTTTCTTCTATGCTGCTGCTAACACACACAAAGTCTTCTTTCAGGTTTTTTTCCTGAAAAGGGTCTCTGGATAAAATTCAGAAGCAGCAGTGATTCCTTTGTGTTCAGCATCTCATCCATTTTAGGCCAGCTCTTGATTTGATCCTACATTTGCAGGGGAATAGAAAAAGAAAAAAGGATTACATCACCAAATAATTTCATTTGTTCTTGTCTCATGCCTGGCCAGACCCTAGTTTTTTAACTGCATGGACAAGTGAAAGCAAGAGACACTTTTGCTGCTAT